CAGGAACACTGGAAAGGCTATTGCCCAATAAACCTGAAGCAGTAGCTCGAATGAGAGCAACATTCACTGGCCTCTACTCTCTGGAAATGGTAAGGAACAGGGCTATTTTTGGGCAGGAACGCACAGGAACGTAGTTCCGGCTAGCTCCCGAGTTGGCCACACCCAGCAGGGAACTCATTAGCATAATAGGCCACACCCAACAGCAGAAATTCATTAGGACTGGCTACATTAGGGCTGTGTGGCCTAACATGCAAAGGAGTTCCTGCTATAAAAAAGCCTTGGGTTTTGACAACAAACAAGGTAAACAGAATAAGAAGCAAAAGGTGAGTGTGTTTGAATGACCACACTTCTGCGAACATGGGGTGTGTGGCCTAATATGCCAATGAGCTGTGCTGTCAGGGGTGTGTCCTAATAAGCAAATGAATTTCTGCTGTTGGGTGTGGCCTATTATGCTAATGAGTTCCTGCTGGGCTTTTTCTGCAAAAAAAGCCCTGGTAAGGAATGATGTTTAGTTCTGTCCTTGGTTTGTACATGTACTGTTGCCATTGTGCATTTACACGGATGGAGCACAGTAGGAAAACAGTGTAAATTATTTCAATAAAATAATCTCCTATGAATTGCAACATTGGATTGTTTTGTCTAGAAAACTGTATTATGCAATAGAATTCTGTTGTTGGAAGCCAGTATTGAGAACTAGTCATACCATAATATTAGGGGCCTTTTTTTGTTCCTCAGGATGAAGAAGGCAACAAGATGGTTGCCATGGCCATAGCTGATCCAGAGCGGTTTGTTTTAAAACCTCAGCGGGAGGGAGGAGGTAATTGATTCTCTTTGTGTATGATGAGTCCAACTGAAGAACTGGGTATTATCATTATCCAGAACCTAGGAGCTTCTATTGTGATGTGCTTATGGCTTATCTAAATGATCATCCCTCTTTTTATAAGAACAGTAGTAACGTATGATAGACAGAAATAATCTCAGTGTGGAAGCAATTGAACAGCATACAAAAATTATTACATCATTGAATATCACAAATAAAATGTAGTATGAACAGGGACAGCTACAACTTTTGGGGGTACTTTGGGCCCTTCATTGCACCTGATTAAATGTGGGTTCCATCAGGTATATACACAACCTTCTGAAGGAGGTAATGCCACACGGCTCTTTTTGTGATCCTTTAACCCCCACCAGGGCTCGAAAAGAGCATCAAAAGAAGTTCCCCTCTCTCTCTTCCATGCCTCATTCCCTGCAGAAGCCTCCCATTCCTCGTGGGAGCAGGATGGGCCAAGCACCTCCAGCCAGCCATGGGCCCTCTGCCAGGTCATGCTCCTTTAGCAGTGGTCCAGCCATACTGCATCCATGCTGCAAATATTTTATCTGATTAACATTGCAGAAACCTGATGCTCTATGCCGAAGCATATTTTGATTTCATAATAATTTATTTGCAAGTAGGGGTGTGAGTTCTAGAGTTTCCCTGCCTATTCCATAACATTTGATATCTGCTGTGTGCTTGCATCTACTAGTAATGAAAGGAAGGAAGGCAGCTTTCAAGGCAGATGTTTTATCTCACTTCGTAAGTACTTTCTGCTGATAAAGCAAAAAAGGAAAGGTTATATGACCTTTTGTTTTGTTTGTTTTCACCAATTTTGCTCCCAAAGTTTCTTACAGTAATACAGTAACTTACAAGATCGTGGACAGGCACACAGGGAGGAGGCTCTGAGATCTCAGTACAGACACAATGCAGGGGTGCTTGGCTGCTGCTTGTGGCCTCACCGATGGGATCACAGATGAGCAAACTGCAGCCTGGGGTCCATAGCTGGTCCATGTGAGCTTTTCTTCCAGCTGTCAAGCTGCTTAACAGTTCATTAAGAACATTGGCTTGCTGGACTGAAGCACAGACTAAAGGATCAGTGATTCAGAAAAGGATTTTGTTAAGCAGTTTGAGGACTGAGTGCCCTTAAGAACAGCAGAATGGGAGAGAGGGGTACATCTGGGACTCTACCAGCAGTGGCCTCTAGTTCTGATGGCTCATGCAAATGTAAACATGGGCAAGCAGGAAGTGATGCAGAACTACCAGAACTGGAAACAGCAATAGCCAGAGATCTAGAACCTTCAAAAGTGGACAGAAACCTTCAGGCTGAAAAAAATTACCCACTTCCAGGCCTTGGTGAAGAAATATAAAAAATACACTGAACTATAGGTTTCTTACTAAGTATAGGAAGACATAGTGTAAGTATATATTCTGGGGTAGTCTGTGCTACTGATTATCCCTACCATCTAAACATCAGGCCTGCTTTAGTCATCTTTTTCCCTACTGCCATATGATGTTCAACTGTAACATAGCAATGCTTGTTTTTAATACGACCATTGTGCAGCCCTCTGTTTCTTACTATTAGTATTAACAAGTAAGGAGACCCGCGATACTTGCGGGGGGGGGGGGAGAAGAGCTCTGTCTCCTCCATCCCCACCGCTCGATCTCCCCGAGGAGGCAGTGGCGAGGCCGGTCCTCCCCCCCCCCCCCCGCCCCCGGAAACTCTCCCTGCCCCCCAAGTGCCCCCTCTGTGCTGACTTAAATATCCGCACAGAGGGGGCTACTTCGGTATTAGATATATAGATTATGGTTGAGCTGAACAAGCCTTCTATGTAATAATATAGCTGGAGAACTCTTCTCATAGTCTCTGAATATTTACTATCAGGCATGGATTTCTTGGCTTCAGAGGCTTCTTAATAATGGGACTGTTACCTAGCTTTGCTTTCCAAGTCTGTCACAAACGTGAACCAAACAATGGAGAATTTTCTCTGTACTGTTAAAACAGCTTCAGGTATTTCTGTTCTGCAGTTGCATTTTACCCATTCCATATAATCTGTGCTGTGTGATCTATGCAGAAGTGCAAACTGTCTTATGCAGTACCTTGATAGACTGTGCCCCATCACAGAGTAAACACAGTAAGCTCACTGTGATAAAGGGCATTTCTGTAGTGCAGCATGTCGTTTCCAAAATCCTGCACAATGTGCCCTTCTTTGCCCTAGTGTCTCATGTGCATACTATGTAAAAAAAGAGAGAGAAATATAGAATTGGGCCAGATCAGGGGTGTCACCCTCTTAATCAGGGCTGTCAAACTAATTTGTTATGAGGGCAGGATCTGACATAAATGAGACCTTGGTGGGCCAGGTAATGTTTGTCGTAAAATGAAATGCCAGGCAGTGTAGATATTAACTTTGTTAAGGACACAAACACAGAGGGTTTTTTAACTTAAAAACATGCTTAAAACATTAGCACTCTTGCAATATTTTGTTTATTTAACAGTGTCTGATAACTGACACCTCTTGCTCTGAATTATTGCATCGAAGTGTCTGTGCTATTGCAATCTTGAGTATGCTGTTCAAGTGAGTATCTGTAAACTGCAAACCTAGTTTTGATTATTGACACTCACTACAGAAATCTCATGCTCAGAGTTCTGAGTCTAGAACCTGGGGGAAAACATGGCTGGGCATTGAGAGCTTCTGTACATAAAATTGCTTCATGTGCTGGTCAAAAACATGAGAAGGCACCATGACACAAACTGAGGGCTATGTGTTTGTCTACAAAACTAGTCTTTCTCAGTGGTCAGTATCTGGGAAGTCTAAGTTCAAAATCCCCAAAGGAAATGTGCTGGGTGAACTTGGTGTGGACAAACACTCTCAACCTAATCGACCTCACTAGCTTGTTGTTATTCCTCAACTAAATAGTTCAAGCTCCCAAAGTTTCTTACAGTAATACAGTTACTTACAAGATCATGGACAGGCACGCAGGGAGGAGGCTCTGTCGAACTAATTTGTTATGAGGGCCAGATCTGACATAAATGAGACCTTGTTGGGCCAGGCCATGTTTGTCATAAAATGAAATGCCAGGCAGTGGAGATATTAACTTTATTAAGGACACAAACACAGGTGGTTTTTTTAACTTAAAAACATGCTTAAAACATTAGCACTCTTGCAATATTTTGTTTATTTAACAGTGTCTGATAACTGACACCTCTTGCTCTGAATTATTGCATTTAAGTGTGTGCTATTGCAATCTTGAGTATGCTGTTCAAGTGAGCATCTGTAAACTGCAAACCTAGTTTTGATTATTGACACTCACTACAGAAATCTCATGCTCAGAGTTCTGAGCCTAGAACCTGGGGGAAAACATGGCTGGGCATTGAGAGCTTCTGTACATAAAATTGCTTCGTGTGCTGGTCAAGAACATGAGAAGGCACCATGACACAAACTGAGGGCTATATGTTTGTCTACAAAACTAGTCTTCCTCAGTGGTCAGTATCAGCCGACTATCTGGGAAGTCTAAGTTCAAAATCCCCAAAGGAAATGTGCTGGGTGAACTTGGTGTGGACACACACTCTCAACCTAATCAACCTCACTGGCTTGTTGTTATTCCTCATCTAAATAGTTCACATTGCTTTCCTATTGAGCAAGATTGGATCATGAGGGCATGAATACAGTGAAAAGGGGGAGGGAGCCCAGTTGCACCCAGGAGAACCACAGCATAACAAGCCCAACAAAACACACAAACTGTAGCAAGGCACACAAAAGCTTATACCTTGGATAAAACTTTGTTGGTCTTAAAGTTTCTTTGTATTTCTACCCTGCGATTGAGGCAGCCAAGCAAAGTAAGCTCTCCCTCCCTTCGGGGAGGAGCCACAGCCAATGGAAGCGAATAAAGGCTTGTCTTTCTCTCCTGTGCAATTGAGGCAGCCTGGCAAGGAAGCAAGCTCTGGCTCGTTCCCTGCCTCCCCCTGGAAGGGGGCGGGGGAGGAGCCTCAGCCAGTGTAGAGAACAGAAGCTTGCCTGGCAAAGCAAGCTAGGGCGTAGCAGCAGCAGCAGAACTGGAAGAAGCAGGAGACAGCCAGTTCCACTGAGGGCCTGATAGAAGCCTTCTGGGGGGCTGATCCCACCCACGGGCCACATGTTTGACACTCCTGTTCTAAATAGTGAGAATATCACCAGCCCTATTGGGAGAAAAGGGTCCTCAGGCTCCCAATGTTGCTGTGAGATGCTCCCAGTGCCTAAATTTGGATGTGGAAATGGATCTCTGGACTTGGCACCACTCCCCATAATAAAATGATAGGCTGTCTGCTGGTCACATATAATGTAGCCAGGGGTGGTGGTGTGGCTTCACTGCATCTATGAGTTATTCCATTTGTATTAATCTTTCTGCTGTTATGTTGTCAGGGAACAATCTCTATGGTGCTGAGCTCAAACAAGTCCTAGAAAAGATTAAAGACAGTCCTGAGAGGACCTCTTACATTCTCATGGACAAGATAAAGCCTCTTCCTGCATTGAATTATTTGCTAAGAGCTCACAGTCCACTGAAAATATCAGAATGTGTGTCTGAATTGGGCATCTTTGGTGTTTACGTCCGGTAAGAAAGCATCTTTGTTTAGTGGACTAAGGCAATCACTTTGATTTTTTTAAAAAAACTATATGTATCTGCTGCGTTTCAAAGTGCAGTCATTTCCAACAGCGCGGTGGTTGTGTTCTATACATACTCCAATGAATGCAGACTAGTTAGTAGTAGCTTGTATCTGTAAATGGACTGCTTTTTAGGTCACTTTAGCTAGAAGTTGCTGTTATGGTATATCAACATGTAAGTATATTTGAAATCACTTGGCCTTTATTGCACATCAGAAAAGTAACACACACATTGTACCATGTACTCTATGAAGTGATTGTTTATAAAAAAAAAATCTCCAGTGTTTAATAGTTCTGATAGGGTGTGTTCAGACGGCGTGCTGAGAGCGGTTTAAACTGGTCCGGTTCTGACGCGATTATTTTTTATCTGGATAATCGCGATCACACTTACCTCCCTTATCCCACCTCCTGTCGCTCCCCAACGTCTACACTACCGACACACGGGAGCGTGTGTCAGCAGGGTTTTAAAAAAATTTTCTCAGTTTGCACATGCGCATAGCAGGTTTTTTAAAAAAATTTCTCAGTTTGCACATGCACATAGGCACTCATCCATAGAATGGGGGGGGGAAACTATCATGACGTATGCGCAGAACCACAAGGGCAAATTAATCCAACCCCTCCAACAGAAGACTTCCCTTTAAACGTTTGACCCGAAAATGGCCTCTGTGAGATCCCAAACTCATCTAAACTCTAAAACAAGTGACCGTTTAAATATCGGTTTTCTAAACACGGTAGTGGAGCTCCGCCTATGCGCACACCGCCAACGCATTAAAAAAATGGCGGGTGAAAAGCGGAAGCCTCGGGCAGCTTTTGAGTGGGGAGGGGGTTTAAACCGGAAGTGGCTTGACACCGGAGGAGCGATCACACGGGAAAAATGCGGCTTTAAATGAGAGAGCTGAGAAAATACCACTATGGGACCTGGTAACAAAATACTCTGGGTTAAAGGGGTTTTGAGGTGGAAACCAATGGCTGGGGACAGGAGGCAGATGTTGACTGTGTGATCGTGCATATAAAATCTGTTGCTGAAGTGTGATGACACCAGATCAAACAGCGCGTCTGAATGCACCCAGAGTCTGTCTCATATCACCAGAGATTAGCTGTATGCAATCCTAAAGCGAAGAATTTGTGTAGGTAAAAAAATATCAATTTCCTATTCCTGTGACTGAGAGGGGAGGTGGCATGGTATAGTATAGCCCAATGTGGTCAGATCTCAGAAGCTAAGCAGGGTCAATATTTGGATGGAAGCTCACCAAGCAAGATTCTACAGAGGAGGGCAGTGGCAAACCACCTCTGCTTCTCACTTGCCTTGAAAGCTCCTTGGTGGGGGTTACTGTAAGTCAGCTGTGACTTGACAATACTTTACACACACGCGCACATTACTGTGGCTGAAATGGTTATAGCTCATCATTGGGTACTAATGCCTCAACAGTTTGTGTAAGATACTAATGCCACAACAGTGAGAATAAAATATCCCCCAGGTTATTTTATATATATATAAAATAAAATATCTTTGGTTATGTTCCTTCTCATTTGTTAGTCCTTTGAGATCACCTGCAGTTTTGGTGTCGGATATCATTAATATGCTAAGCTATGCATATCATTAACAAAGCTTTCATCCACAGCTGTCTGTTTTAATAGCGTCCAAAGTAGGAGCTATGTTCAAGTGAATGTGAGACCTGAAATTGAATCAGACATGAGGCATAAGAATGGTACAAAAAGCTGATGTCCTTTAAAGGATTTTTGTCAACAGTAGATGGCGCAATTGGGGCTTACTAAGATTTTTTTTAATTGGGCCATTTCAGATGAAGGCTTACTGGCCACTTAAGTGTCATTTTTTTCAGCGTTTCACTCTTGAGTTTTAATTGCTATTTAAACGTTTTGCAGCCTTGCCAAATGGGTAGGGGCCCCTCTTAACTCTTCCAGAAGATTGGTCCACAGGCATGGGACAGCCACTGAAAAAGCCTAAGCCTGCAGTCTGGCAGAATGTGCCTTAAATAATGGGGATCTGATAATGGACTTTGCTGGGGAAAATGAAGCTGCAGCATGGGAACGTGCTGGGAGAGGCAGCCTCTCAAGTATATCACTGTCCGCTTATTTAGGTCTTTAAAGGTGAGCACCAACATCTGATTGGTTTCTGAGTCCAATTCAATCAGCAGCCAGTGAAGGGGCCTGAGGAGTGCTATAGTCCTGTCAGCTAGACCAGCTGAAGTGCAAACAATGCAGCCATCTTGCTGCATGATTTTAGTCAAGATATTTTGTTTAAAACATTATAATGTTCTTATTCTGGTTTCCCTCCCCCCCCCCCCCCCCCTCTTGCAGGCAAAATCAGGATCTCATAATGAACAAACATGCTGGTCACCTCTTGCGAACAAAAGCTGTAGAACATGCAGATGGTGGAGTAGCAGCTGGAGTAGCTGTTCTAGATACTCCCTATGTGATATGAAATTGCAATACCTCTTCATCACCAGCATCCTCACTGTGCTTGAATTGAGACCTGTTTCTTTTGAGGGCATGATTGCCAAATGGTGAATAATCAGATCTACGGTTAGAAGCTCTCCCTCTCTGTCTTAACCCTAAGGCAAAAAGGTACCACAGTTGAACTGATTTTCAAGTAACCCTTTCTTCTATATTTGATAGTAATGACATCCATTTGATGACCTTCGTTGATAACTGCTTCCCGCTTGGTGTACTTCATGGGGCCTCTAATCTCCTTTTTTTTGGTTCTGTGATGTTGTCACAGCTCAGGTGGGGTGTCACCTGATGCTGCCACCACTCTGATTCCAGGCTCCTCTGAGAAGGTCCAGGGCACCCTCCCAGGCCTTTAGACCTCCCTTTTGGCCGAATAATAGGCAGAGTGAACGATGAAAATAGTTTATTGTATAGGAGGTCAAACAACAAGGTGCAGAATAATAACAGTAAGTGGGTGAAAAGAAATCAAATGACCTTACGCATCTAAATATACTGTCTCTGCAGTGGCCTTAGACTACTCACCCTTCCCTCAGGATGAGGGTCTCTTCCTGCAGCAGCCTTCCTTCTGGCTCTGCCCTCTGGGAAGAAGAACAGCTTTTCCTGCTGCTCCAGATCTTTTATTCCAAGCCTTCCTCTTTTCCTATTGGTCAGTTTTGGCTTCAAAACCTCTCAGGGGCTTCTGAGAGTTGTAGGCCCAGCCTCACCTACTGCTAGCCAGGCTCCCTAGGCCTAGTAGGCCTCTGGTGGCACAGCCCAGATCATGACAGATGGACAAGCTGATGTTCTGATTAGATATTACTTGGATAGGACTGCACAAGCTGTTAACTACAAATGCCCTCTTCATCAAGTGCCTGCTAACAGGAGCATACATTTGATTTGATAACTAACTTTCTATATTTACATCCTACATGAAGGCAGTGGAGATTTTCCTGGATGAAATGGATTGCTCCACATTGTACTACTTCCTGTTCTCACATTCCTGTTGAAGACCAACATGTCACTACAGTGTAACTAACAATACCTCTTTCAGTCAGTTTCCCCTTAGTCCCCTGCAGATGATGAAAGAAACAGTATATACCTGGGTCTTATTCACCATAAAGAACATGGAAAATTGGGGCAGTTTTGCTGTTACTATTTTGGTATTATTTTGTAATAAAACAGTGTGCACTGTAGAGAATGAGGGCTTAAAAAAGAAAATGGCCCTTTAAGGCAGCCCTCACAGATAATGGGTACAGCCACTGTCTGTAGCTAAATGAGGCTTCAAGACTTTTAGCTGTAGTTCACATTGAAAGTAGTAGCTGAAAATTCATGTCTGTCATTTATCCTGTGCCATTTTGATGAGTGAATAATCAGTGACCAAAAATATCTTTACTGCTTTGTTTCCAAATAAATTATGAAAAATAGACATGAGATGTACTCAAGTTCAAATTTATATATATTCAGAAGCATTCAGTCTTCTTTTGAAATAATTCAATTGATTTATATTAAATTTCCAGAAACTTTAAAGAGATGGAACATGAATTTTTGAAAACTGGGAGAACCTACAGTATGTATACCTGTAAAACAAGTGTATGTGTGTGTGTGGGGAGGGGTCATTGATGCCAAAAAAGCACAATTTTAATTCAACTGCTAGTTTTGTACTAGAGGTTACTTTGGAATAACAGCTTGTCAAGTCATAAAAGCTGCTTTTTAAGTTTGTGAGAGTTTATACAACTTCCAGTATGGTGTGTGGGGAGCTGCTGTTCAGAAAAGAAATTGTCCCCCCCCCCCCAGGGTTTTTTAAGTGAAATATTACCGTAGTTCAAACCTATGTCATGCATAGAAAATGTATGTCTTTGGAGAGGAGAGCTGAGGCTTGGGCAATAAATATGGTTTAATTAAGGACCAATGAATAGTGGCCATGCCAAAAACATCACCAGTAGCTCAAATGAACTTCATTAATAAAAGGGCTCAATACCTATTGGAAAATACCAGTGCCAATTGTTTTTCATGTCTCTGTTGACACTTTGTTTCTATGCTTTTTTCTTTTTAGGTCCGTATTTTAGTGCCAGGTAGAACTAAAATACATATCATAGTGCTCTTGTAAGTTGTTTGTATATGGAAATATGACAGTCGCCCCCTAAGCCGCCCCCCCATCCCAATAGAGCAGATAAATTGCCCTAGGTCAGTGGGATCTCCTCACAATTTTACATAGTTCTGTCTTTGTAGGAAAAGATACATAAAAATGTGGGATGTTCAACAATGTGCTTAAGTAAAAATTTTTGCACAGATCTTAGTAGCAGCAGTATGTTCATAGTGCATTATTACATATTAAAAATTATACATTACTTCATCAAATCTAATCATGTTAAATACAAAAAAGTGTAACAAATTGCAGTATCTACCACTTCTACTAACCCTCAGTGACAGCACCATATTCCTCCAAAAGTTCTGTGAAAGAAGTAATTACTGCCTTCTAAAAGGACTTCCAAAGACCTGGAGTCACAGCAGAAAAAGTTCCCACTGTGGCCATTCTCAGAAGGAGCTGGTCTGGGGGGAAATAGAGACAGTCTTTCCAAGTATGTGGGATCCAGATTTTTAAAACTTTTATTAGGTAAGAATTAAACCCGGAAATAAATAGGCATAATTTACTCCCTGTAGCTCTCACCAACTAACAAACAAGCTGCCGTGTTTTACACAAGATGAACTTTCTGACTTACCTTCAAGGGCAACCCCACAGTGTAGTAGTGTGGACACAAGCCTTTTGAATGTAGCACCCTTCAACCAACTGCAACAAGTTGTCTATCAAGGTATATTTTGAACAGCCCACACTTTGTGCAGCAATGCAACTTTACTCATGTAGTATATGAGCTGTTTGAATGCACATCTGAGTGATTTGTAAACTTCTGTATGCATCTTCAGCCTGTGATATGCCACTGTTAGGTAGAAATTGAAACATTGGACCTACCATGAAGGTTTCTTCATCAGTGGATTGGAAGGTATCCTTGTATGGGTTGTGCCTCCTCCCTGCTCCATGGGCAAGGCATATGCAAATTTCTTGCAAAGGTTTCCACTGTCCTGAGGAGGCACTCCACCTCCCTAGTTCATGTCTTGCCAAGCTTCTGATGGAGAGAGGTACACCTCTACCATCACAATCACATAAAAGAATTCTCCCTGAAGGGTTATAAGTGGAGATAGTGTCCCTTTTGACTTAGGGTGTTCCTTTCCAGTTCCTCCTCCGCCAACTAGGGTGGGGAAGGATACCTTGCAATCACGGATGAGAAGAAACCTTCATGCTAAGTCCAATGTTTCATTCTCCATCAGTGGAAGAAGGTATCCTTGTATGGGATATTGAAAAGCTCTGTTATCCTTGATGAGAGGAATGAGAGGAATTAGGGAACTACTTTTTTCAGAATATTTCTGTCTAAAGGAGCCACAGCCAAGGCAGATTTGTTAGTTGGTAGTGCCTCACCAAAGTAGAAGATGAAGCCCAAGTCACTGTACTACCGATGCATGCTATGGATACACTGGTGGAGAGAGTTGCATATGTGGTGGCCACTCTAGCAAAAAAAGGCAGCAGCCTTTGAGGTTGACAGATGTTAACTGTCATAAACCAGGGAAATGCACACTCTGATGCATCTGCATAAGTTTTCCGATGATGCTTTCTTTTACCTGTTGCTGGGTAAGAATGTGATTGTTAGGGGAGTTTTCAAAACTCTAGCATAACCCCCCCTTTCCCATCTGGGAGAGAAAAAGATTCACTCAAGGCTTATCACTAACAGAGTAGGCAGTTTTATTAAGAATGATCACTCTGATTCATGCAAGAACAGATCATGCTAGCATACAGAACAAGATTCAAAGTTCTTCCTTTATAGGATAAAACAAACAAAAGGTCAGGGTCTACTGTTTCAAAAAGAATTCATCAATTCTGTTCTCAAACATAATTCACTCCACCCTCTGTTTAGAGTACATCCTGCATTCCTAAGACATAAGGAAAACAAACCCTCTACACTTTTCCTGAAATATAAGGATGGCATAAACCCTTGACTGAGATAGGGTTGCTTAGAGATCAGCAGGTCAAGAACAGATTTACAGTGGGGGTGGACTACGGAGGAATATAACTTCTTTAAAATTTAGCAAGCCAATATGGGCTCACATTTAGAAGCCATTATGAGAATCTCAATCTTACTTTACAGTGTAACTTTCATGGTATTTGCAAAATTCCTTAACAGTGATCAACAGGAATCCAGTGATATGAAGGCTGTCATCCTCTTAGGTAGATGTGGGTAGTTCCCTGAACCTCTAACTTAAACTAGATCCATTCTAGATGATAGTTGGGATGACAACAAATTGAAGACAGATGTCTTGATCCCGGTGGAACAAAGACTTAACAGATAGCAAGACAAAGGGGTTGGTGCATAAGGTCACTCAATCCTCCTGAAGGGAGCTAACCTCACCTCTCACCCAGAGGAAAGCCAGCCCTGAAGCCCTCCCTGCTGAGATTTAGGGCACAGGAATTATTTATTTATTTATTTTATTCCATTTTTATCCCGCCCTCCCCGCAAGCAGGCTCAGGGTGGCTTACATTCGTGGTACAAGTACTATAAGTCCACATAAAACACATAAAAACAGTTAAATAGTCACATTTTAAATAGTTTTAAATAGTCACATAATCAAAGTGCATCTTTGTTGATAAGATGGCATATTATGTAGTGGAACACACACGATTTCCAGCTCAATAAACTTCTGACATCATGCAACGATATAACTGATTGCCAAACCCGGGCCAACCCGCCACCACAGATGTTGGTGGTAGTGGTGGGCAGCTCCTAGTTGAAAGCCTGGTGGAAGAGCTTCGTCTTGCAGGCCCTGCGGAACTGTAAAAGATCACGCAGGGCCCTGATCTCTTCGGGGAGCTCATTCCACCAGTATGGAGCCGCCACTGAAAAAGCCCTGGTCCTGGTGACAGCAAGCCTGGCATCCTTAGGGCCTGGGATGGTCAATCAATGTTGTGACCTCGACCGTAGTGCTCTCTGGGGTATATATGGGGAAAGGCAGTCCCTCAGGTATGTCAGACCCTGGCCATATAGGGCTTTAAAGGTAAGTACCAGCACCTTGAAGTGAACTCCGTATGCTATTGGCAGCCAGTGCAGTGCCTTTAGCGTAGGCCGGATGTGCTCCCATCTAGGAAGACCCATCAGAAGCATAGCCGCAGTATTCGGCACTAGCTGCAGCTTCCGGATTTGCAACAAGGGCAGCCCCATGTAGAGAGCATTACAGTAGTCTAATATCGTGGTGGCCATTGCATGGATCA